TTTAATTAGTGAATGGTTCGTTTCGCCAACTATAGATAAATGTTTTATAAAGTTTTATACACGACTGAAAGTTAAAAATACTGGTCAAGTTTCGTGCAATATTTGTGATTAATTTATTAAGACCCTGTTTCGCCGCGTGATTGCAGAATTTTGATTATCTGTAATTAGCGAAACGAACCGTTTACTAATTACAATCACGCTGTTTTCGGCAAATGTTTTATGGTGTTATATACACGACTGAAAGGTAAATATATTGATAGAATTGTGAAAAGTTTTCTTATTTATGCCATGGATTATAGAAAAGATTATGTAGATTAGATGTATTTCCTGTATTTAACTTTAAGCTCAACAGATTTTTTTTTTGTATTTTCTTTAAGTTTTAAAAAGTTTTATTTCTGTTTACTTCCTTTAAGTTTTAAAATGTTTTTTTTTTTTTATTTCACATACTTCATTTATTTAGTATGTGCTTTTTCCAATAATCATATTGCAGCTCCTAATTACTAATTAGTGAGCCCCTGATGTAAAAGTGTAGCAACAATAAATAAATAAAAATACTGGTCAAGTTTCGTCCGACAGTTGTGAATATGTCAGACCCTTGTTTTGCTGGTTTTCGATTATCTGTAAGTAGCGAAACGAACCATTTACTGATTATATTGTTATTATCGGCAAATGTTGTATTTCGTTATATACTCTACTGAAAGCTAAATATACTGGTCAAGTTTCCACCGACAGTTGTAAATTGTGTACGTGTAAGAACCTTGTTTCGCTGATTACAGATTTTTGATTATTAAATATTATTTTCGGCAAATATTCTGTAAATAGAAGGTAAAAAACACCCCGCTTTCCCGCTAAATTTGGAACGCACATGGAATAGTAACAACATATAGAGTGAACCCCCGGGGGCAACTCTATCCTCTTCATCAATGCTGTAAACTTGTTTTTTTGGACTTGTGTATTTTAGAAGAGGCAACTGGAGACTGTGATTCCAGTCCGTCCAGACTAGTCATACATTTACCTCTTGTGTACATACTTGACTAAATGCAGAGAATGCAGGTCACCAGGTACAGGTTCTAATTCCAAAATATGTTTTAAAGATACTGAACTACAAAAAAAATGCACATGAAAAGAGATGGCACACACGTAATGGTGACTGACAATTTGCAAACATGAAAACGTCTTAAAAATGACACTATAAAACGACAATATCTTTCATCACTAGCAGTGTAGAAGTAGTCCAGTCATCAGAAAGTGCAGACATCTCACTGGCAGACTTGTATGTGAATAGTTCTTAAAATTTATGGACGCCCTAAAATTGATGACTATTCCTATCACAATATTTTTAACATTTTGATAACTTATATTGATATATTGGTAAGTATGTCCAAGTGAGGTAATGTTGCGGACCCATTTCCGTATTGTGATGTTATACATCAAATTCAAAATAGAATATAAAGTTCAGTAATCTTTCCATTAATGCCAAATGTATTATAGTTATGAGTAATTATGAGTGCATTTTGATGGTATTCCATAAGACCGCAATTATCACTATTAGTCCACTTTAAGGTAGTTTATGGTACCTACCCTACATTTCAGAGGACAATAACTGGACAACAACCCTAAGCCCAGATAGAATACAAACATATTGACATAATTGTTCACAAAACATAGCTTGTCTACATAATATACAACTCCCTATAATCAATGTCCTAATGTACTCTCCAATATTGCGTGTTTCATCCTAGCTTCTGAAGCAGGGTTGATTGAAAGTGTAATTTATATCAACAAGGCACTATACTTCTATTGTTGATTAATGGAGTCCTCTGGTGTTACAGTTACAACAACTGACAATATACATAACTTCACCAATGTAGAACTTGGTAAGAATAATCCTTCCAAGTGAAAAACAAGCAATACGCTGCTGTGGTCGTTTTCAGACTTGCGCCATCCCTATCCCTCTGCCACAATGAGCGACATTTCAACACTATGGTCAGGTGCATTCACAAGAAAGGGGTCTTCACAGGGAGGCAACTTCAATACTGTCAAACTATTTTGAAAGTTGGTGATCCCAAGATGGTCCTAGACATACGCCTTACAATCTGCTTCATTCACCTAACAGATGTCAGTCTTTTTTCTCTAGCTCTGTGGAGACTGTTAGTCTGACCTAATTAGACACCTACTGTTGTTGCCACACTCGCAGTTATTTCAACCAATCACATCCCGGTGTTACTAGTACATGTAGTAGTTTGTTGTTTCATTGTAACTTGCTTGTAATCAAGTGAAGCAAATAAACAGTTGAGTTATTGTTACCGCAATCTCTCTATTCCGGGTTTCTACCCGCAAACGACTCAACTCACGTGTCCATGCAGACACCCAGTTCCAAAAAATCTGCATTTGTGTAGCCCTTGTTATGGAAATCATACACTTACAATGACCTTCTCCCTCATTCTTGATAGTGTCTGTATTCGCAGACGAGGCCATATCGTGGCGGAATAAAGCATCACCAACTCGTCTCACAAATCTTAACCAGATTTTGTCTGTTGATCCACTGCCAGGTCATTTTGCTATATACTAGTACACTCTTGATCCACCAATGTATACAGCCATTTCAGGTCTAGACATTAATTTTATGTAGCTTATAAGTTCAATTACACTTTTCTAGAATGTATTTTAATATGATTAGAATAAATTGTTTATTATTTTGAATGTGCTAAGGTTTTCATTCTGACAGATGGTGACGGTCACAACAATATTGATGTTAAACAATCAATGAAAATTTACAGATCTACCATGTGTTGAGAAGGGAGGAATTAAACAAAAAGGATTAGCTAAATAAAATCACTGTGTACACAATGTTCAGACCTTATTCATTTCTTTTGTGTTCTTGGATTTGTGAATGCCCTTTGATGACGAGTTTGGGGTATTTCTGATTGAAAGTATTAAAATGTAATCATGTCTTGCAAATAGTATAATAACATTACATTAAAGGGCGATAGTCGTCGCACTGTGCATGTGCGACATTTGTGTTGATAAACATTAATTTTCCCACAATCCAATGCGCTCTCCCAATGAAAATCACAAGTATGAGGTTTGACCTGGGCGCAACTTGCACTAATCCCCGCCAGTGACTCCTTGGATACCTTCCTAGCACCAGAAAAAATACCTAATTAAAGCTTGGTAGCATCCCATTTTGTACTCCTTGATCTGTCAAAGTCGCCATCTTTGTTTATATGAGACCCATATATCCTGTGCATGCGTGGCGCAACGGCCATCGCCCTTTAACTTTACTATTGTCAACAAAAACTCATACAGGGTAAAGCAATAACTCCCTTTTGCCTTCGGCACAGATGCCAAGAATATGGTTATGATTGCGAGAGACATGGCCACATACTTTCCCTCTACTGTTTTGTCCATATTTATAATACGTAGCTTATAATTTGGTATTAATGCCTATTATTGTGGTCATCATCTGGTGTACACAATGACTGCAACAAAAACACTATTTTCATTTACATACCAGACTTGCAACAAAGACGAATATAGCAATCCATACAGTATACCAAATATACAATTTGTACTCCTTTTGGAGGCGCTACATACACAGATTAAAATAAAATTCAGTAAAGCTCCCTATGAATCAGTATACATTACTCAATAATCTAAATTTTAATACATACAAGTTAATACATACCAAGGAATATAGTTGACAATCACTCTTTTTCTATATTGTTACAAATGAATTAGATGTTTATACTCTTACAGAAAATAGTTCATTCGAAAAACCATTGGCAGGCATCAAGATTATTACCCCACAAAGTTTCCCAGTGTGAAATATTTTATCACAGGTATCCACTTAAGAATCCAAACTGTGCCCAATATTATACTATAGATTCAGAAAAAATACGAATGCCCTTTCAGAAACAAATCAAATGAGAATGTGACATTCATGAGACCATGCAAGAGATCTATTGACTGTCACCATCAGATTGCCACAACCTAATAACAGTTTCTTGTATGTTGGACACAAAACCAAGCCTAATCAGAAACATAGTGGTAAATAGGAGCAATTCCATATAGTACTGCCAGCCCTGTAGTACTGAATGTTTGCCTACTCCACCTGGCAGTACTAAATTACTGGCAGATGTCCCTATCCTATCATGTTATCAAAAATTACACCCTCATCCTCCAGTATCATGTTTTTAGACTCATCCTGTACTACCGGGTACTGTTCTCTAAATCTTCCATACATTTTACCACAATCCTAGCTGACTGTCTCATCCTGTACTGTTCTCTCAATCTTCCTTGCCTTTTCCTGCAGTACCACAATACTAACTGCTTTCCTATCTCATCCTGTACTGTTCTCTCAATCTTCCTTGCATTTTCCTGCAGTACCACAATCCTAGCTGCTTTCCTATCTCATCCTATACTGTTCTCTCAATCTTCCTTGCATTTTCCTGCAGTACCACAATACTAACTGCTTTCCTATATCATCCTGTACTGTTTTCTCAATCTTCCTTGCATTTCCTGC